CGCTGGGCCGCCGGGTCGGGGCTCCGGGCGGCGCGGCGAGGTCACCGCGGGCAGGTGGCTGCCGGTGCGAGCGCGGCCAGCCTTTTATTTTCTCCCGAGTTTCTCTGAACCCAAAGTGACATCGAAGTCATCGCCAGAGGAAATAAATACAATGCTTTATCCGAAGAAAGGCGTCGTTTTGGAAATGGCTCGGGCTCGAGGTCTGATCTGCTCCCTGTGGAAAGCTCCAGCGGGCAGTCTGCCTAGGGAAGCTGCACGTGGACACCGGGGTAAACGGGTCCCCATCGGGCCAGGGTGAACTCCGAGTGCCTGATCCAGAGATGACTCAAACCATCCGCCACTTTAAATGTCAATTGAGTGGGTTTGTTTTCAGGAAACAAAAGTCCGACGTGAATGTTCCTTGCAGATAGGATACTGTCCACAAGAGTGAACTTAAAACGTTTGCATTCCCCCTCTAGGAGTTTATTAAACGAATCTTCCCAAGTACTACTGCTGACAATTTATACTTTGGAAACTCATTTGAATCGCCTTCTCTTCCTGTCAGTCTGAGAATAGACAACAGATAACCTCCAGAGCAGGGAGAGAAAATGCTCGAATACAATTACTGCCGCCCAGGAATCCCCACTGGGTTTTGGTGCTGCCGGCGACCAGGTTCTGCTCCTGGAGGCGTGTTTGGCGCGAATGTCTCCTCTGCCATAAACGTGAACACGCCTGTAACTGTGCTCTTGTCCAGGTTTGTGCCACTGATTGCGGCTGAGAAAATAAAGACTTTGAAGAAGGGCGTATGCCATTCTACTGATACGCAGAATCCCTTTAACACTGTTCAAAAACACAGACATCTGCCCTCTTCCTTGCCTCCCGATGGCAGTAAGCCTGTAGGACAATAGGAGCTTTCTGGGGTTACTTATACATCTGGGCAACACCTGGCAAGATCAGGTGAGGGTTCTGGGTAGAAAGAAAAACAGAGAAGTAAATAGAGAGGTTTTGTAACTGTTTCTGAACTAGAACTGGCTACGGGGCTCTAACCGGGAAGGAGGAGTCATTTCCCCAGTGGCCGGAGCCTCTTAAGAGACCTGGCTCTGGGCGGGTTCCGACCGACGTGCGATGCACTGTTAACAAGAGGCGGCGAGATGCACCGTGGCTCATTTATGCGCAAGATTTCAGGAAGAGCAGGAAAGGTCAAGTTAGCTACTATACGGGCAGCGACGGGAGGCTGCGCGTGGAGAGCGTGAAGCAACCTTTCGTGACCCTCGTCTCTCTGCCAAGCCCGGGATAGCATGGGGCCGCCGGGCTAAGCAATGACGCTTTAGGGTTAAACGCACCAGTTTTCTATCCCGACTGTTACAGGGAGGATTTCAGTCAAGTCTGTGGTTGCGTTAAACCTATTTGTACTCCAAACAGCAGGCAGGTGTGGAAGCGCTGCTCTGGGGTCTGAAACTGGTCTGGACTACAGGGACTGGGCGGACCGAGGGCGCGGAGTCCGCACCCGGGGCGTGCCTGGCCGAGCCAGGAGGAAACGCAGTATTTTGCTCTTAGAAGCAAGATGGGCAAACGCATACAGAAGTCTTCACACCAGAGGTCGATGTCAGGGCGGGGTTAGGCGGTGGCGGGCTACTCCAGCATCCCGAGGAGGCTCGGCCCTCGATGAACCCATAGATGTCCTTTAATAAACAAGGCTCATGCTCGGCCCCAGGGTGACCGCCCCTCGACACACCACTGTCCGCGCCACGTTTACCGAAAGACTGAACCCGCGTGGCTACACTACACCTGTTTTTTTAATCTTTGAACTCGGGTTAGAGCCCTAACTAGGCTGCTTCACTCGGAAGCTTGGCCCTTGGACTCCGCTTAGCACCCCCTCGGGGACCCCAGCTCGCCAGCCCCAGCTCGCAGGGCCGCAGCCAGGGGACATGAACCGTGAACCAGAACCTCAGGTGCTTCTCTCTTACGTGTTTGGAATTTGCCTCTAGCAAGGGAAATTTTAAACAACTTTTTTTTTTTTTTTTTTTTTTTTTTTTTTTTTTTTTTTTTTTGCTTTTTAAGGCGGCGGAGACTAATTTTACCCACCATCTTGTAAAAGGAAAGGAAAGAGGCGGGCGCACCTGGCCACTAACACCAGGCAGGGATCCACGCAGACTCTAGGCCGCCG